ACAACTTTCATGAAGGACTCGAAGACTAAAAGCCTTGGTAAGTATTTATTTTCGGCGGCTCAAGACGGAACAAAAACTGTTCACTAAACCAAAATTATTGTCTCCCAAAAGTGGCTTTATCCAAAGTCCAAATCACCTCTAAAAATTTTGGATTAAAAATATGTTATAGAGAATGATGTCTCTAAGAACTTTTATGAAGAAATTTTTCTCATAATCGTTATAAAAATTTGTGTAGAAAATCGAGAAATAGAAAGGTCACTGAAATCGTATAGAAAACAGCTTGAGCACGGTGAGGAAAATGGACTATCGTCCTATCCAAATCACCTTGGAAAAATCTGAAATTAAGATATGTTATAAAGGGAAGGATTTCAAGTAACTTCTGTGAAAGACTCAACTTAAGATTTCGACTTTTCAAAATGGAACAAAAATGAAGAAGATCGAAGCTCCAGGCGACCAGATCTGCCCTTCCTAGCTCCTCATACACTTTTCACCCCTTTTTGCATTCACAAGGCTCACGAATTTGCCTTCTCTTCCACAGTAAACCAACAGCCAACTAACGAGCACATAGAAGTCCTAAGCCCATCGCCATTTTTGCACCTACTTGGTTCGAGAGACTCGAAACTCACATGCAAGGCTCACCGAGCTTAGATCTATGGTTAACACGCCCTTGGGCCCTAGATTCACACATGCACCAACACCACCATTCTCGGTCTCTAACATGCAAGCTCAAATAGCAACTTCCATTCATGTACAAGCTCTAAAACTCGCAGAAACACACGTGCACACACACAAGGGAATGCTAAGAATACGGGTAGATGGAAAGGCTTAAAATCAAGCCCAAATTTCCTTGCCTTGATCTAGAACTTTGGGAGATCCTTCGGCGGGACTAAACAGAGCTCAGGGGCTGTTCTTGGCGAGACAAAAAGAGTGAGATGAGGTTGTGAGGGAGGACAGACGGCTGCTGGTCGGTAAGGAGAGGTAGGCGAGAAAGAGAGAGAGGGAGAGGATGAGGGTGAGTCTTGAGAGAATGAGAGAAAAATGAGCTAAGAAAGATGGAAATGAGGTTATAAGAGGGAGTGAGGGGGCGTGGGAGATGAAGAGTCACCGGTGGGGGTCTAGGGAGGGCTCATCATGGGGAAAAAGGGCTATATCTAGGTTTAGGTAATGATTAAGGGGTTTCTTGTAAGAAAATTTCGTCCACGAAATTTAGAGTTTTACCTGATCCATCGAAAAGATGCGGATAATGACTCCTCATGTCGTCTTCACTTTCCCACGTTGCCTCTTCCGAGCCGTGAAATTGCCATAGTACTTTAACCAAAGGAATGGTCTTATTCCTAGTAACTCGCTCGCTTATATTCAGTATTCGTACTGGCAATTCGTTATACTTCACTTGATCATCCACTTCGATCACATCAAAGTCCAAGACGTGCGTAGGGCCAAGTTGGTACTTCCTTAACATTGATACATGAAACACATCATGGACCTTTTCCAGCTTTGGCGGTAAGGCCAATCGGTATGCTAAGTCGCCGATCTTTTCAAAAATTTCGAATGGTCCAATGAATCTTGGACTTAACTTCCCTTTCTTGCCAAATCTTGATATGCCTTTCATTTGGCGACACTTTCAAGAACACATGATCTCCCACATTAAACTCCAAGGGTCTTCACCGTCGGTCAGCATAACTCTTCTGTCGACTTTGGGTGGGTTTGAGTCAGCTTCTTATCACTTCCATTGCGTCCGTAGTTACTTACACCAATTTGGGTCCAATTATATTCCGATCTCCTACCTCGTCCCAACAAATAGGGGTCCTACAGGCCCTTCCGTACAGAGCCTCGAACGGAGCCATGCCGATACTTTGTAGAAAACTGTTATTGTAAGCAAACTCGACTAATGCTAGTCTCTCATCCCAATTACCTTAAAGTCGATGACGCACGCCCTCAACATGTCCTCCAATATCTGGATTACCCTTTCTGTTTGTCCATCGGTCTGTGGATGGAAGGCAGTACTGTATTGAAGTTTGGTCCCTAATGCGGCTTGTAGGCTTTTCCAAAAGTTCGAGGTAAACGTTGGGTCTCGGTCCAAGGTGATCGTCACGGGTATTCCATGTAACTTGACGATCTGTTTTACATACAAGTCCGCAAGCTTGTTCAACGAGTAATTTGTTCGTACCACCAAGAAGTGTGCGAATTTGGTCAATCGATCTACTATTACCCAAATAGTTGTGACCACTCGATGTCCTAGGTAATCCTTGCACAAAGTCCATAATAATGTGTTCCCATTTCTATTCAGGGATTTCAAGGGTTTCATCAAACCAGCTGGTTTCCGGTGTTCGGCCTTCACTTGTTGGCACGTTAAACACCTCGCGATGTGTTTAGCGATATCGGCTTTCATCCCATTCCACCAATAGTGTTGACGAAGATTGTGATACATTTTTGCGTTACCCGGATGGATGCTATAGTTACTCCGATGCACTTCTGATAAGATCTCATTCCTCAATTCCTCATTATTAGGTACACAAAGGCGTCCATGGAACCTTATATCTCCATCCTCTGATACTTGATAGTCCACCTTTTCACCTTCTTCTATTGTCTTTCGAATCTTTATCATCTCAGGGTCCGATTGTTGCAAAGTCCTAATCCTTTGAATAATCTCAGGCTCAATTCTAAGCGTAGCCAACACGCTAGTTAAACCACCTACATCAAGTCTAAAGTCAGGATCAGAGACTTCCTTAAGCAAATTCCATTCTAGGACCATCATACTTGCCACCGTCATTGTAGATTTTCGACTAAAGGCATCTGCCACTCTATTTGCCTTTCCGAGGTGGTACAAAATTTCACAACCATAGTTCTTTAACAATTCTATCCACCTCCTTTGCCTCATGTTCAACTCCTTTTGAGAGAACAAATACTTTAAACTCTTATGGTCCGTATATATCTCAAATTTCTCTCCGTACAAATAGTGCCTCCAAATTTTTAACGCAAAGATAATCGCTGCAAGCTCTAAGTCGTGCGTTGGATAATTTAACTCATATGATTTCAATTGCCTAGAGGCATAAGCTATGACCTTCCCATGTTGCATCAGAACACATCCCAATCCTTTATGGGAGACGTCACTATATACCACAAATCCTCTGGTCCCACATGGTATAGTTAGAATAGGTGCTGTAGTTAGTTTCCACTTTAACTCTTGGAAGCTATGCTCACATTCCTCCATCCATTCAAACTTTACACCCTTCCTTGTCAACTTCGTTAGTGGACTAGCCAGGCGTGAGAATCCTTTAACAAACCTTCGATAGTAGCCCACAAGACCTAAGAAATTCCTAATCTCCATTATTGTTGTCGGTCTAGGCCAATTAATCACGGCTTCTACCTTTGCCGGATCCACCGATATTCCTTTGCCAGTCACCACATGACCCAAGAATATCACTCGATCCAACCAGAACTCGCACTTACTAAACTTAACATACAACTTATGCTTTCGAAGGGTTTGAAGCACAATCCTTAAGTGTTGTTCATGCTCTTCGGGTCCTTTCGAGTATATCAGGATATCATCAATGAATACTATTACGAACTAATCCAAATACGGTTTAAACACTCTATTCATCAAGTCCATGAATGCTGCGGGTGCATTGGTCAAACCGAAGGGCATAACCAGAAACTCATAGTGACCGTATCGAGTTCGGAATGCCGTCTTAGGAATATCTTCCTTCTTAATCCTTAACTGATGATATCCAGACCTTAAATCAATCTTAGAGTACACCAAAGCTCCTTGTAGTTGATCAAACAAATCATCGATCCTAGGCAATGGATACTTGATCTTGATAGTGGCTTGGTTTAATTGTCTATAGTCTATACATAGCCTCAACGATCCATCCTTCTTCTTTACAAACAATACCGGCGCACCCTAAGGTGACGCACTAGGCCTAACGAATCCCTTATCAAGCAATTCTTGCAGTTGCACCTTCAACTCCTTTAATTCAATCGACGCCATTATATAGGGAGCTTTTGAGATAGGCTCAGTTCCATGAGCTAACTCAAGAACAAATTCAACCTCATGCTCCTATGGTAAACCAGGTAACTCTTCAGTAAACACATCAGGAAACTCTTGAACTACAAAAATCTCTTCAAATTTCACTACACTCTTATCCTGATCACTTATTACTGTTAAAAATCCTTGACATCCATTATCTAAAAGTTGATGAGCTTCGAACTTAGAAACAAGTATTGTAGATATGTCCATTCCATTCCCAAAGAACTCAAAACTATCTCGGTCAGGCGGGTTAAATCGAATAACCCTTCTATAACAATCCACATTGGCTCGTTGCCTACGAAGCCAATCCATCCCTAAAATAACGTCAAAATCATGCATAGCCAGTACTACCAAGTCTACCATCTCGTCCTCCTATCGAAATCTTACGGTCCAAGCAAATTAAGGTAGACAAAATAACATCATTTAGGGGTGTAGAGATGCTTAGAGGTATTTTTAACAACTTAGGTTTCAACCCACACAATTACACAAATCGAGCGGATATAAAAGAATGTGTCGTACCCGTATCAAACAAGGCATAGGCTTTACAGTCACATAGGGTGAGGATACCTGAAATAGTGATTTTGGAAGCCTCAACTTCTTCTTGAGTGACTGCATATACTCGTCCTTGAGCTGGTGGCATTTGTTGATTCCCTTGCGACGGTGCTCCTCCTGATGTACGTTGTTGTGGCTGTTGAGTTGGCATCGCCTGCGATTGTTGGCGTTGTCTTTCTTTAGGACAATCCTTCACCATGTGGCCTCGTTGTCCATATCCAAAACATTCTCTTTGAAACATACATGGTGAGTTTCCGTGGTACCTTCCACACTTTCAGCAAAGTCCATTTGTATATGGCATTCGCCCCGCTCCCTGACTACTCCCAGAGCCTCTGTGATTTCTAAAATCACGTTTCTTATTGAAAGTCTACCGTCCAAATTGATTGGGCCTCTTATCATGTCGGATATTGCCTCGGTTTCCCTAATACTGCGATCGAGCCATAGTTCCACTTCCATCTTTCATCAGTTCATGTTCTATAAGCTGGGCTTGTTCATATATCTCACTATAATCCTTAAGGTTGAGTGGAACCAATTGCCTCCTAATGTCGGTTCTCAGACCATTTAGAAATCTTTTGGCCTTGTCCTCCTTATTCTCAACCAACCTAGGGGCAAATCTCGAAAGTTCCGAGAACTTTGCCTCATATTGATCTACCGACAAGTTATTCTGATTCAATTGCATAAATTCAGTCATCTTCCTATCTCGTGCACAATCAGAATTATACTTCCCATTAAATGCCTTAACAAATCCATCCCAAGTCTTTGCCGTACCTTCAGGGAATACGGCATCCTTCGATGCTCTCCACCAATTTTTGGCATTCCCTTCGAGTTGATACTCAGCCAAAGTTATCTTATCATCGTCAGTACAATTCAGTTTGTTAAATATCCTTTCCATCTTTTCAATTCATCTCTCTGCCTCTTCTGAATCTCCTAATCCAACAAACGTGGGCGGTTTCAACTTCAGGAACTGTTCTACTAGTCCCAGCACTCGACACTCACCACCTGCTTGCTGCTGAGCTTGTTGCTCAAACAATGCCCCTACATTTGTTAAGGCCTCGAGAATTCCATCCACTCGAGGATCTCTTGCAGGTGTAGCCCTGGCTCTCCCCATAGTCTTGTAGTGTTCCCTGCACATCGATCATCAATTACTCAATGATGATCCATGCTGCTAATAGACTACTAAGTAACAAACATTACAAATATCAAACAAGTAACCACAGTTACCTGTTCCAAACACATGCATAAGGTATCTTAGGTATACTTTCCGCACTTGTCCTAATCACTTCCACTTCTATCACACCCTATCACTCCAGTCCAACCTAAGGCTCACCACCAAATACACCTTATCACTCCAAGTCTCAACCTTAGGCTCTGATACCAACTGTAGCGATCCAGAGCGTCACATACTAAGGCGTTCTTTAATCTTCTTATTATATCATTACGCATGCGGAAGGTAGCGTGCGATGAAGGTCAGCATTTATAACTTGAATTAAACATGTTTACACAGCACACTATGGAAAGTGCAATGGGAAGATCTTACAACTTCATTAACACTTTCAAACACATGGGCGGAGAAGAAACTAACGATTCACAAAAGTCGGAAGGATTCAAAAAGGTACTGACTCTCACTAGAATTAACAAAATCCTACAAACAACAGCTACTGTCCCAAGCCCAATATCATCGCGGTATACACAAAAAGAAGCCACCGTGGTTCCTTAACCAGTTTTCCCAATCCTGTTGATTCTCCTTAGTCCTCCATCGAACTAGGAATCTCTTCCGGGTCACTTTCCTCGGATGATATATCCACCACTCCTCCGTCGCCTCCACTAACACCGTTCGCTCCGCTAAATCCGCCCTTGGGCCCTAGATTCACACATGCACCAACACCACCATTCTCGGTCTCTAACATGCAAGCTCAAACAGCAACTTCCATTCATGTACAAGCTCTAAAACTCGCAGAAACACGCATGCACACACACACAAGGGAATGCTAAGAATACGGGTAGATGGAAAGGCTTAAAATCAAGCCCAAATTTCCTTGCCTTGATCTAGAACTTTGGGGGATCCTTCGGCGGGACTAAACACAGCTCAGGGACAGTTCTTGGCGAGACAAAAAGAGTGAGATGAGGCTGTGAGGGAGGACAGACGGCTGCTGGTCGGTAAGGAGAGGTAGGCAAGAAAGAGAGAGAGGGAGAGGATGAAGGTGAGTCTTGAGAGAATGAGAGCAAAATGAGCTAAGGAAGACGGAAATGAGGTTATAAGAGGGAGTGAGGGGCGTGGGAGATGAAGAGTCACCGGTGGGGGTCTAGGGAGGGCTCATCATGGGGAAAAAGGGCTATATCTAGGTTTAGGTAATGATTAAGGGGTTTCTTGTAAGACCATTTTCGGAAAAATCCTTATTGAGCAAGAGTGAGTAGCATACTTGAGTGTCTAGGGCTGTCCATTAGCTTACAAACAAATAGGACAAAAGAATGAGACAAATGAATAAGACAAACTGGCAATCTAGTGATAAAAGAAGAAGAAGAAGGCCACTTCTCCCCCTTCTTCATGCAATCCACTTCTGGCCATGCAAAGGGGTATTAGGGAACCCTTTGTGCTCTAATACCTCTAATTAGATCATACGATAAATTTCCACACCCATATCTTTTCATTTAATCAACCTAATAACCCCTGTACGAGCGATGCATCAAGTATGGCCAATTAAAGTTCCTTCAAGTATTCCCACGAATTTAAATAACTTTGATGCCTCAAGAATCATAAATCAAGGTCTCTTGATTAATCTAATCCGTCGAAATGATCGTGCTTCATTTATCACTAATTCCACTCCATATAACACCTTAATCAATTAAACGAAATTCAGGATGTCACATATTTGGTTCATTCTTAATTGACATATCCTATCTCCCATTTTAAATAGCATAGTTAACGGCTTTTCTAAACTCCTTAGCATTACTAAAACACCTCTTCAACTTGAATGTGTGATTCTCCATATCAATTTTAGCATTAAACTCAGGTTGTTTATACTAATTTTGACTCTCATATTGAAGATATTTACATTATCAATTAAAACATCTTCATACTCTTACTATCTCCAACCTCCTTATCTCTCTCCATTGAACCATCAACACGGACACCCTCATTTCCTAAAAAAATTTGTGTAAGTCGTCCATTTCAATAATGGCAAACTAGTCTTCTTTAACACCCTGCTATCAAGCATTCTATAGTTCACTCATTTGCATCCCTCACCTAGTGCAAAATAGACAAAAAAAATTAATGTAAATATGTCTCCATGCAATACATTACAAAACATTACATCGCAAAAAACAAAAAATCAGTAAAAAATTTCCACAACACAGGGACCATGACAACACCACTTGCAATAACAAAATGCACACATGGGACCACTTGCAATCACAAAAAAAAAAAAAAAAACAACTCACTTGCATCGATTCACACAAAAGGAGAGAGAATGTAAAGATAAGTCCTCCCAAACAAGCCAATGCAACACTTAAAATGCTACATTTTTTCGTACCATCACTGCCATCGGTCTTGTATTCGGCAACATACAACCTCCTTGTCGACATGTTGCTTCAACAAGTGCAATCGTCTTCTCTTTGTTCAAAGAAAGGATAAAAAATTGAATCTAGTTCATATGGGAAATTTTGAACGGTTTAGTTTAATTCAAAAATTTGGCGATTTTTGGTCATTTTGGAATTCACAAGTGCATGTGGTCAGATCAAACATCTTGGGAAAAAACTGACCATGCCCATGGTGTGGAACATGACATATGACACCCCATAAAATGGGGCATTTTTCTCAAAATACCCTTCAGAGCGGGGTTTGTCTTAAAGTAGCCCTTGAAATTGGTGAATTCGTTTAAATTGACCCCCTCAGGACATAAATCTTCACTAAACAATGACCATGTGCATGTCACGTGCTGTGTTTCCTGCCATGATATTAGATTTGACCACGTACATCTCACATGCGTTCCAAATTAACAAAGATCCTCAAATAATTTTACTTAAACTAAACTCAATTTCAATCCTTACTTAGTCCAGCGAGGTGATTGCAACTTGTTGAAGCAATCATGTCGACAATGCGGTCGCATGTCAAATGTGAGACCTTTGACGGTGATGATACTAGAAAAAGTATTCTTTTAAATGTTGCTTTAGCTTGTTTGGGAGGGTGCTTTGAGTTTTCTCTCATTTTGTACGAATCAATGCATATCAGTTGCATTTTGTAATTGCAATTAGTATCCAAGTGGGCATTTTGCGATTGCAAGTTGTGCCGTCATGATCAATGTGGTTAGTTCCTATTTTTTTTTTTTCTCAATGTTATGTTTTGTCATGTATTGCGTGGAAACATAATTATCTTATTTTTGCTCTCATTTTGCACCAGGTGAGGCATGTAAAGAAGATAACTCGGAAATATGAAGGAACACAGAATAAGACCAATTCATCATTACTGATCTAAATGACCTACATAGAAGAAATTCAAGAAACGATGGTGTCAATGGTGATGTTTTATAGAGAGGGATGGGGAGGTTGGAGACTAGACAGTAGCATGTAGATATTTTAGTTGATAATGTCTTCAAGTTGTGATACGCCCTAGAAATCCTAAGGAATTTAGAGAGGTCATTGCGAGACGGATGAGGTTGATCAAGAACGAATCAAATAAGTTGAGGGCAATGTGCTGTGTACATGCTTCCAAATTGTTGAGGGAGCATACTTTACAAGTCAAAACCTTCAACCATGTACGTACATGTAATAGGGCTCTTACTATTCTTTAGGTAAAAGCTAAAGGCTAGTAAGCAAGTATTGTGATAGAATGAATGTGACATTCTGAATTTCGACCCATTTTCGGGATTTATAAAATGATTATCTCATCGATGCACTTTCAGTTAAATCTCGCTCTAAATTAATCACTCATGAAAAGACTAACCGTTAGGGAATGGCTAGTTAGGAATTAAGTACGCACAACCTAAGAACTCGACCCTAGATTGACACTTCTACCATAAGGATTGACGAGGGGATATTTTGGGTCATTATAGACTGATCCAAGGATGGTTATTGAATGATTTGGCAATGTTATATAATTGGGTCGCGGGTGATTCCGTTTGGCCATTGTTTGAATTACAAACATTCCTAAACCAATTTCCAACGATCGTGTCCTTCAAAACTAGTGATTGGCCCACGCAATTACATGACAACCGAGGTCACCATGGTTGAGTAAACTTAAACATGGCTTGATATCGAATCAACTACGAGTTGAATACGCGTAACACCTAAAAGCCGCTCGTTAGCTTGAGATACACTAAAATCGCAATTGATCGATTTTGGCCATGTATTGAAATCCGAACTTGGGTATCGAACTTTCAAAGATATCAAAACTATTATATTGGACATTGCCTCATTAAGCTCGCTTAGTTATCGGTTTGCTCGGAAATTCTTGGAAAAGTGAATTTTGGCCCGGGAATTGAAAAAGACCCTTTCACCCCTTAGTGTTCTAGGACTTCTTGGTTGAGTGGAAGGGCATGTTGGTCTTTGTACCCCCCTAGTGATTCCGAATTTCATGGACAGATTTGCCCTTCTTGCTTTGGTTATTTTCCTAATTGCCATTTCTAGAAACCTTTTCAAGTATCAACCCTAACCTTTGGATCTTGACTTAGGGATCAAGAAGTGATCTCAACCCTTCATTTGGATGATGTTATTCAGCCATTCTCTCTCTCCCCATCATTTTTTCAGATCAGCCCTTTTTTTCACTCACTTTCACTTTCACTCACTCACTCTCACTCACACCCCACCACACCGACCAGCTACCACCATCCACCACCAACACCATCATGCCACCATCCATAGCCGCCGTTCAAGCCGTGACCAGCCACCGTTCGTCGTTTCGCCGTTTCGCCGCTCGCCGTTCGCCGGAGTTGCTGCACTGACCGCTGGCTGTTGCTACTGGTTTAGTTGGGTCTTTGGGTTTAGAATTAGTGGTAAGTAACTTCCTAAAGCTTGATTAGGTTGATGGGTGACTAATTGACTATTTTAGGGGCTGATTAGTGGTTAATTGTGGGCTAATTAGTGGCTAATTGTGGGCTGATCTAGGGCTGATTAGTGGTTAATCATGTGATTTAATATTAATCATATGGCTTATGTGGCTGATCATGTGTTTAGTATAATCGTGTGGCTTAGATTGATCGATCTTGTGCCAATAAATAATCATGTGGCTAGAATTGTTTGATCATGGCTGATCATGTGTTGCATTGTTAATCATGTGGTTCAATAGTTGATTATGTGGTTTGGATTGATTGATCATGTGATCATAGTTAATCGTGTGGTTTAGAATGGTTGATCATGTCCTAATTATTTGATCATGTGGTGCACATGCTAATCATGTGGCTGATTGTGTAATTAATGTGGATTGTGTGGTTGTGATTGTTGATCATGTGGTTAATTAATTTAATCATGGATGATTAAGTGATCAATGTTTGATCGGGTGGTTGTGATGACAATCATGTGGCCGAAATAGATTATCAATGGTGGATCTTATGCTTGAACATTGATCTTGTGGCTTGATAATGGATCTTGTGGTTAATCATGGCTAATCGTGGTGTATCATGGCAATTTATGGCTAGATAATGATGTTTGATATGGTTATGAGTGCAATTCATGACATGTTCGTTCGTAGGAAAATGCACGTCATAAACACTCTGCATTGGCTAATTAAGAAAGACGAAAATTGGCAATGAGTGATTGTTTGTGTGCATGGCCATGACAAGTTCCGTCTAGGCGGGAGTTCTAGACGATGCCCGGCGGGAGTTCGGATGCCGTCTAGGCGGGGGTTCTAGACGTTGCCGATCGCGGTGGAGGCCGAATCGATGCTCCTTATTGGAATGCCGTTGGGTACCCGGCTCGCTGAGGGGTTCGATCCCCAATGTTGCCGCGCTCGAAGTAGCGAGGCGATGCCCGGCTAGACCGGAAGACCGGCGGGGGTTCGGTGTGGCCCGAGGGGTCGTTAATAATCTGGACAACTACGAGTGTTATTTGCATTTGAGAATGCTTTGTGTTCAAGAGTGATAGTTGAGCATGTCTGGATTGTTAACTATCGATATGCATGTTTATGCAATGCCATGATATGTTTGTGTTTGGTGACCACGTGTGGTATGGTGATACCGTTGCGTGTTTGTTAGAACTTATATTATGTTTTGCAAGTTGGTTGTTCTAATGAAAGGTTTTGCTATTGAGTTGCTATGTTAGTAGGATTGCATAATTAGGGTGATCCGGAGGTACGTGTTACCCTAAGTGAGGCCTAGGGAGTTTACTTATTAAGATTTATTCTCATTGTTGTAATTCAAACCTTTCAGACCCTCAACCATAAACATGAACGGCCCTCCACAACGTTTTGGGGTCCCAATGGATATGGAGCATATGTTAACGGAGTTTCCGGTAGGTGAAGATAGGGATCATGTCATTTTGGATGCACTCCTTTTAATAGAGAAGTTAGGCTAACCTAACCACCTGATCCTTTTTTAGTATGTGTGTGGTTTGTAGTGGAGGCCTCTAGTAAGGCTTGTTTGGTGTGCCGTTGTAAATAACGTCATGTTTATAAAGTGGCTTGTTGTTCTGTTTCATTTCTCTCTTTACTATCCCGTTTAATTGAATGTTGAATGGAGTGTTCGAGTTGCTTCCGCATGTATTACTCTTAGTTCGTTTGTATCGGGTCGGCGACTAGTCCTGGGAAGTCGCATACTTAACGATCAAGTGGGATGTTGCAAGCTCGTAGGGTGCGGAGCGCGACAGTGAAGAACAATTCTACATGGCCAGGTGCTTCAATGAAGCAAATGATGGAGTACGAGAATGTTCTGAAGCTGTCGAGGTCAATGGTCTACACAACTAGGGCTATAGCAACAAGTATGATTGCACGGAATGAGGAGGAGCAATTTTGGTTGCCTATAAACTATTGCAAAGCATTTCTTGATGCCAACTTAGGATCCACATGTAATAAACACCGAGGCATTTCAAGAGAAATTCAAGTTTAGTCTACATTTGTCTAGATGTATTTAGGAGAGGTTTTCTAAAAGGATGTAGGCACTTTGTGAGGTTTGATGATTGTCATTTGTCAACGGGATACAATGATCTAGCAGTTGCAGCCATCAATGCCAACAATTAGATTATCCTTTTGCATGGGAAGTAATGAGACAAGAAACATAAAAGACATGGCATTGTTTTATTCATATAATTACAAAATAACTACATATTACAAACCTTGAAAATACAAACTTCTGGACTTTCTTGTGTGACAAGCAAAATAACTAGTGCAAGCACTAGCATATTGATGTACAAAGATAGAACATAAATTTTGTGCATAAGGCATGAACTCCAAATTGCATCACAAGGAATTGAAATTTTAAAAGTTGGTTTAGAAGGCTACAATGACAACTAGGGTATGTGATTATGAGTTAACAATATAAGAGATGAAGGCATTTAATGATAAAGCTTATGATTGCTTATCCTAAAAAGCTCTAGTGCAATCGAGCAAGTCTCACTTTACAACAAGCTCAAAATGTGACACTGTTGAAACAATTGACAAGAAAGATTCAACAAGCGCATCATTAATGTCGGGATAAAACCTATAAACACAATGCTTATATCAATAAGAGTGCAGTTTATGCAGAGGATTCATAAGAAAACGGAAGGACTACACCAATGTGATATGTCCCTACATGTAAGAATTAGAGGTTTAAAAGTAGTTTTCAGAATCATGGATTCCTAGCTAGAATAAGGAGGATGGGTTTAAATTGAGTGGGTCATTCAAAGACAAGAGGGTTCTTCTTAGCAAAAATAGAACTTGTAGTTGTAGAAGATGAGAACTAAGTTGAATCCCTTGCAATCATTTTGTGGCAACTCTTATATACATGAGGGATAAGTCTAAAAATGGGTTTGCACATGTTTCAGTAAGGAAACATTCATACAAACTTATAGCCATGTTATGCATGCTATAGATTCCAAGAAACATGGCCTCCTAAAAGACCCATTTCGCTAGATGTGCCCGAGCAAGTTGGCAGAAAGAAAGAAAAAATAACAAAGTCAGTAAATGAAAAAACTAATAAAAAATTTGAGGAAAAGAAAGAAAAAAGTTGTGCAAGAATGAAATGAGAATAGCAAAGAAATGAAGTAAGAAATTGGGACTCAATTTTGGTCAATTCCCCCCTTGATTGTGACCCAATTGCAAGTAAATAACACAAGCAATTGAGTCAAATCAGATATTTTGGGACTAAATAACCCCTGTCCATGGCATGTAATACAGCACATGAGACGCACGTGGTCGTCGTCTGACAAAGATTTCTATTGCTAGTGAGGTGGGGCAGTCAATTGAGATAAAGTCACCGTCTTCCGGGACACTTTGATACAATTTTGAGAAAAATGCCCTGGGTTCTTTTGAAATTTTCCCTCACATTAAGCCCATAAAGTGCCATTTCACCATGCGCTCATATCAGATAGTGTGCAATTTAACTAAATATGCACACTCAAAGAGAAAGATAGTCCAAACTCAAACAATGGGCCGGGACCACCAAATAGATTAAAATGGCCGGAGCATAGATGTGAGTAAGATTTTCCATAAAAACACAAATTCTGAACCAATCTGGACGATCATGGATAACAGTCATTGAATATCAGACTATGTAACATTTCACCAGACCTAGACAGACAAGCTTGGTTTGCTCTTGCACTTCATGACCACAAGATATGTAACGATGCCGCCATATAAACCACCAAATTTGTTATTAAACAAGAAAGAAGAACAATCAGTAACCTGTTTCTAAAGCCTCCTCTACCTCCCGCCTCTCTTCGGCTCGTCGTAGCTGCAAGCAGCATTGAGGAAAAAATGTCGGCGAAACATCACGATAGCGAAGACAACGGAAATCCGACGCTTTCCAGCGATCCAAACAATTAAAGCGACAAACACACCAAAAAAAAAACCCGAAGGCCTGAACCTGCTAAACGACACGATAGCGAAGACAATGAAAAGAAACATAAAATGGCACGAGCAGAACCCAATTGAGACATAAACCAGCAAAAAGGATCCGATTCAAAGCACTCAAATTCAAACTGATCAGTACCTTGTCTGCCGCATCGTCGTTTGCCGAGCCATTGGCTTCACGCGGAGATGCTAGAATAGATCCTCCAGCGGATTCGAGCAGACAAACGACCCCGGATTTGCGCCGCCGACGGCGTCGTAGGAACCGAAATCGTCGCCGCCGGAAAATTTATGATGTGAGATCGGGAGAGACGGGCTAGGGTTGGGAGGTTACAGGGAAGACCCATTTAGGGGTTCTTCGTGGGCTCTTCAGGGCTTTGGATAGACAATAAGTTGTTGGGCTTCAAGAGCCTGGCATGAGGGTCTTGATTTATTCCAATAATCATGGGCTTTGTACCGTTGCAACGGAAGAGCTCTATGAAGTCACGCATGTCGAAAAACCATTGGCTAAAATAGGACTCAGACACCTCAGTAGCCACCCTTCCCAAGTGGAAAGGGAGAGATGGGAAGTTCGAATTCCCATCGTCTCAGGAAAATTTGGGGTAGAGACGTTTAGTTTTAAGTATGGGATTTGACTTCCACGCTTGGCAAAGAGATAGAGCAAAAGTCCAAGAGTGAGATGAGAGTTAAAATAGCATAAATAAATAAATAAATAATAGGATTCTGACACCAACACCTAGAGCTCGGTCCAGCTGGGTAGGGATTGGGAGTGGGGCAAAGAGGTTGCGGTTCAAAACCTGGAGATCACCAATACACACACAACACAGTGGGAGCTAATTCCTAACAAGACAAAAAACTCAAAAGGATTCTAATGACAGAGAAAAGACATCGTGTTCACATATAGCCTATAATGCCCCATTGATGTCCATTACCTTAAAAGCTGTTGGCTTTTGTTGTGGTAACTCTTCTTCTTCTTTTTTGTGAAAGTTAAATTTTCTAACTTGCCTAGGTACAAAAGGTTTCGATCTCATTCGTAGCGATTGTGATTAGATAAATAAGCAAGCCTTCAGTGTTTACTATGCGTTTTTTTAGCACCATCAAGAAAATTCTCATATTGGCCACCAAAGTGGCTCATCTATAAGGATATTTGAGATTATAAACACTAACATGAGGAATTTCATAACGTGATGTGGATGTCTCTGCCAAAATATCTATTTCACAATAACATGTGAAATTTTCTTATGAGGTGCATTTGTACCTAAATGTAATAAATGATTTGAAAAATATTTTCCATTACCTTAAAAGCCGTTGGCTTTTGTTGTGGTAACTCTTTTTTTTTTTTTGTAAAAGTTAAATTTTCTAACTTGCATGGGTACAAAAGGTTTTGATCTCATTCGTAGCGATGGTGATTAGATAAATAAGCAAGCCTTCAGTGTTTACTATACATTTTTTTAGCGCCATCAAGAAAATTCTCATATCGGCCACCAAAGTGGCTCATCTATAAGGATATTTGAGATTATAAACACTAACATGAGGAATTTCATAACGCGAAGTGGATGTCTGGCTGCCAAAATATCTATTTCACAGTAACATGTGAAATTTTCTTATGAGGTGCATTTGTACCTAAATGTAATAAATGATTTGGAAAACATTTTCCTAAACCCAAAACCTTAAACTCTACAACCCGAAACCCTACACCCTAAAACCCCAAAACCCTAAAACCTCAAACCCGAAACACTAAACGTCAAACCTTAAAATCTAAACCCTTAAACCATAAACCCTAAAACCCAAAAACCGAATTCCTAAAACGCTAAATCCCAAACCTTAAAACTCCAAACCCAAAATCCCAAACACTAAATCCTGAAGCCCAAACCCCAAACCCCAAAACAATAAACCCCAAAGCTTAAACCCTAAACCCCAAAATCAAAACCTTAAAACCCTAAAACCTAAACCTCAAAACCCCATATCTTAAAACCCTAAACCCCTGAACCTTAAACCCTAAAATGCAATTTTCTCAACCATTACCTGGTATTTAGTTTGTCTATGGGCAGTAATTTTCTTTATGATTATATTAAGGTCATCCAATTCTATATCATATTGTATTTTGAATCAATTTCTAATCTAGTTTTATCCAAACATGACAAAGTGATATTTTTATAATTAAATGAAAAAATTGGGAATATAAATTTTTAGGGTCATACCAAACGCATTTATGTTCTTTTTCTATTATGGGAATATAAGTTTTGTGCAGTTACCAAACGTGTCTTTCTATTCAAAAACACGTCAAGGGAATAAAAATATAAAAAATATCTCTGTACAATCATTATGAGGAACAAAAATGTTATCAGACGGAGCCTAACTTATTGAACACTCTGCAATTTTTCTCTCAAATGAAGCGGAGGGGAGCACGGGGATGGAGGGAGGAGAGAGATAGTGTGTACGGGGGACACTTTTGCCCGGAGCCTAAGAGTCTTTCCTTTGAATTGTCAATTCTAGCGTTTGAACATATCTTCTTTCCCATTGGGGTCAAGCTATATTAAGTACTTTAAATCGACTTTTGCTTTATTCTCTGCGCTATTTCAAATCTTGCATTTATTTCATTTTGACTATTTGTAGACCCAAAACAATTGAAAGTTTTATATCATACAAATGTCACTACATAAATTTACACATGATGTTGTCATAATTTTTTGAAATTTCAACGATAGTTTAGCTGTTTCTTTATAAAAGCAAAAACAATGAATCTGTTAGCTATATAGGTTGGCTGGCTCGTCCATAGCGCACATGTGCTTCGTTGTGGATCGGACATGACCATTTGTGAGTCACAACTTCAAATTATCTCAACACCTCCGATCGTCATTTGAGCGTGCAAAATACGTATATGTCAAAATCCTGCCAAACTATGGCCCAATTTATTCATGGAAAATGAATGATTTAAAATATTACATATTGCACTACTTGAAATAATTAGTTAATGAAAAATAATTTTATTATTGATAACGATTTACATCTAAATATTTTTGTAAATAATAAAAATATCTTTCGTTTATTTATTTTTGTAAGCGATACAAATAATCATCTTTAAAAAAATATATTTTAAATTATTAATTTTTCGTGAAATAAACAACCCTGTCCATCTTCAAGGTTTTGTGACAAGTTGCTCCCTAAAAACACATAAACGATTACACTAATAATAATAGGAAAACGGAAAAGAGTGTTTACGTGCGGAGGGTCTGAGTCAGATGGTCCGAGCATGCGCGGCAATTTCTGTAGGCGAGAGGGCCCACCTGACATTTTTTTTGGTCGAAGAGGGCCCACCTGATTACTTATTTTATTTTATTTCCCTTCCCGTGCTTTATTTATTGAGTTAATAATACAAAAAAAAAATTCAAATTAATACACTTATGACAAATTTAGTTCAAAATAATTTTTTGACCATAAAAACCCCTAAACTGGTATACCTGTGACAAATTTGCCCAAAACTAATTTTTTGATCACCAAAAATCACAAACTGGTATACTTGTGACAAATTTTTCAACCGTTAAATTGAATTAATACCACGAAAAACTCCAAATTTATAAACTTGTGACAAACAGAAAGGTAAAATCCTAAACTGGTAAACCTGTCAACTATCACGTGTCATCCAAGTCAGTAATTTAACAGTAAAATTTAACGAAAACTAATAGAGAATAAATTTGTCACAGATGTACCGGTTTGAGGTTTTTTATGGTCAAAAAATTAGTTTGGAATAAATTTGTTACAATTGTACTAGTTTGGAGTTTTTGTGGTATTAAACCTTATTTATTTCCTTAAATTTGCAATGCACTAACGCAACGGTTCATATTAGACGGTTTGATTGCTTCAAAAAATAAAAAAAGAAGCATTCACTACCGCAGCAGTATCTCATTTTGTTTGCCCCCCAAAAAGCAAAAAAAGAAAAGAAAATTACAAATAAAAAAACTCACCGTTTTCCTCGAGAAAGCTCAATGCATCCTAAGATTGGAATTACATATGTGAATAACGTGGTAATACGCGTTGTTTGTGGCAAAAGATAGAAAGTAGGTATTGATTTGGAGTTCCGTGAGGAGGGGCAGCTTCCTTTTGCTTTTTCTCTGATAACATGTTTTACATACGTGATCCATGTGTGAAACTTCCATTGGTTTTGAAAATTAATTTTCTCGCCTAGCTGTCAACTTATGCAACATGTTTGTAGATGAGTGTATTTGGGTTTGCTTTTTGTTTTTAATAGATTTTAAAGAGAATGAGAAAACGAAGAGATTGATAATAAAATCAATGGTAATTACATAGACATGTCCATTTGATTTTTCTTTTCAAAAGTTTTGAAATTTACATTCAGTCTGAATAATGTATATCTTAAAAGGCATTTAAGGAAGAAAAGAGAGAACCGATTACCTGAAAAAAAAAAAAAAAAAAAAAAAGGAACTCTTCTTCCCTTAGTATACTAACTTGAATTATTGTCATTATGGTTAAATATCACTGAGACTCTTCTGGAGATTTGAATATTGGTCACCATGAGCGATTGCACCAATACAATGTCAGCGAGAAACCGAATGGTGTGGGCTGCTTGAGTGGGAGTGAGCGGTTCCAGGTTATGTACTGATGAAACCTAAAATCTATCCTACATATCTTAGAACGGGGAACCTACCCTATTATAGGTTCCATTAGATTACAGGATCACCAAGGTTTCACCTGTATTATTAATTAAATAATTACAGTGAATCATCACCTTTAATAATCACAACTTGTTATTACGATCTACTAACCACAACTTATATTTAGACACACGAAAAATATGAAACATTAATAAGTCATAAAATGAAAGCTCGGACTAGTAGTTCCAAGTTATACACTCATTATCTAATACCATTGAACACCGCGAGATCACGTGAAAGCATATTTCAAGAAAAAATACAAAAAACTTATTTAAGGTTTCAGGTTTCAGATTTCACCTATCTAGACTTGGCACTTACCTGTTGAAACAGGTTCTCTAATCTCGAACCTACCTTGCATGTCTTGGAATCTGAAATCTATAAGTTCCCACAAATCAGGTTCTCAAGTTTTAGGTTATACGCTAGAACCATGCTAGGGTATTGTTTGAGCAAGAAATGTCAAGCAAATTTTTTTGGTTGTTCTGTCGGGCAAATTTGGCCGACATTATAGCTCATACGGTAAAATGGGCAAAACGAAAATAAGAATGTTGTGCTTTCTCCCAATCTCGATTAGAGAAAAACTTTCTCCAGCCAAATGATTACGAATACGGATACCACCCACAGCTATTTTCAGCTAATTTTACATGCTGATATCGATTTGATACCTATGCTAAAAAAAAAAGGAGTCTGGAATCATTAGCACTCGATTATCGAATCTCCTGGACAAGAAGCAACCTTGTCGTGCATACAACAAGGGATCGATAGCTGATTGTTTTCTAATGGCCAAGAGG